TTGGGTAGAGCATGGAAATGTTTTCTCTGTTCTGACACCCATCACCTGAAAAAAAGAAGCAATACTATCCTGACAAGAGGTCCAAATCTTCCCCACTGTGCTCAAAAATGTTTTTTGCGTTCCCTTTGTGGGTGGAAATTTCCCTGACATCCTGATCTGTTTGAAACCCACCAAAGGCCCCATTCACATGTAGCGACATACCTTTGCAGCGGCCGGGATAGCGCGACTTTCGGGGCGACGTTCCAGCGACGATCCAGCGACGGTAGCGCGACCTTCTCCGTCGGGCTCAATAGAAAAAAAGCAAAATCGCGCAAAATCTGCCGAAAAAAGGGTCCGGTAGAAGCGACTTGCGACCGCGACATGGAGCTAAGACAGCTCCATTGACTATCATTAGCCGGCGACTTCTCACGATATCACGGCGGAAATCGCGCGATAAGTCGCTACATGTGAACGGGGCCAAATGGACAGAAAGAGAAGGTTTGTCTCCACTTCCTGTCCTGCCTTCCACCTGCCACGTAGACAAAATGAGAGAAGGCTTTCAAAATGGGCACACCGGCAACAACATTTGACAGAGGTTCTATCCCTTCCTGAGTGTATCCAAAACAAAAATTAAAGTTTTGGCTCAGTATCTGACCTCTTAACAAGCACCAGCTGCACAAAGTTTTCTGTGTTTTAGATTTTCAGTGCCTACCTGTCCTCCAAAAAATGCTAGTTCACTGGTTTCAAAAGTCATCAGTACCTTCTGAGACACCAAAGCAGAAAAATATGTAGATCAGAAGTTCTGACTTCTGCTACATGCACCTTCATGGTCAGTTACTTAAAAGGTATTAAAACCAGATAAACTCAGCATTTTCAGAAGGAGGTCACCATATTTCTCTCAGTATAGGTTTCCTTCCAAACAGAGTTTGAAAACCCCATTCCAAGCAAAATTGGTATGAAACTGCATCGTTTTGCTGCTGATCACAATTAGCGCCAGTGTGTGGAAGCTTTTCTTTGCATACTGGCTGGTGAGTGTGCTGGGAAACTTTTTGCTAGTGTGTGGAAGCCATCGCATCTGCCAGACAGGGATCTGTAGGTTTGTGTATATGGCTGCCTAGAAGATCAGTCAGCGGACAAACTGCACGTGGTAGTAAGCAACACTAAATCATGCTTGTGTGGCTGTGTGTGTGGGCGGTGGGAAAGGTGAAGGCGCACCAGAATACCAAACCATAGTATGGCTTGTCTCATCTCTGAAGCATGTGGGAATTACCTAGTTGATTCACAATTCTGAAGCTGGCCACACACTGGTAGATTTTCATATGAACGTTTACATGAAAACTCTCAACAGAACATTTGATAATGCCATCAAAGACTTCACGAATTTTGTTTGATTTTAACATTTGATATTTGAAATAGGGATGCACTGATATCGCCGATATATACTGAGTATTCGTTCGAGTACTCATACTCGCCCAAATGCTCTGGATACTTACCTCCTATTAGAGAGATCTCCCTCTGACTGGCAGTGCCGAGGGAGCATGGAGCCACCTTCCTTACCAATCAAGAAGCCGGACGGCATGTCATGGCCCGCCTCCCTGATTGGTTGAGGAAGCCAGGCTGCATAGAAACAATCAGGAGGCTGGATCATGACATTGCACCCGGATTCCTGATTGGCTAGGAAGCCGGCTTCACTTGTTGGTAGGCAGCCTGGCTTCCTGACCAACCACAAGCTGGACGGCCAAGCAGCCTAGGCAAGCGAAGATGGCGTTCTTTCGATAGGAAGCCTGTCGACGGGTCATGATCAGCCACCTGACTTCCTGATAAAATCAGGGCACAAGGCACCGGTATCAGTACTCAGCATCACCGAGTACCAAGAAGAAAAAAAAATATTGGCGCTCAATGCAGGAAAATCGGCATCAGTGCATCCCTAATTTGGAATGAATAGAGTTTACTGAACAAAAACTGGTGTGATCCCTTCAAAATTCACAGATGTCTTATGAAGCAGGAAAAAAGAATGAAAAAATTAAGGAAGAACAAATTATAGTTTGTAAAGCCGTCCTCCCCTAACAGCAAAAAGAAATTAAGAAATCTCAGCTTGAAACTCATGCATGATAAACAGCCGTCATTAAACAAAAAATAGAAATAATCTCCATAAAATGGCATTTATTTTCCTTACTGGGCACCGACTCTCTTCTACAAATTTGACTCGATTTGCCAGAAAAAATATTGTCTAAGTTCATTTATTCATACATCTAGTGCCAAGTTCTGAAGGAACATGGCTTTGCATTAAATATTCAAACTAGTGTGTTTATGACCTACTTGCTAGCTTGTGGAGATAGTCAGCTAGACTAAACATTTTGGCTTTGTAAAAATAGCTGGAGTGGCAAGTATGTACCCTAGAAAAACAAAAATTTCCCCACATCCAGTCTTAGCACCACATACAGGGGGATGCACCTGACCAAGCAAAACAGCATAGGAAGCGTTTCAAATATATCACAGCAATTCCATCATAATCAAGGACAAATTATATAAATATATAAAATGATTCCGCGTCTGTAAGCGGCAGTCCGCATGTGAATCGTACAAACTTGCAGACTGCCGCTTACAGATGTGGTCACTGTCACCACGTCATTAACCTGAATAGGTACAGCGGCTGCTGGGATTCATGCCTCAGGAATCCATAGCTTCTTGCTGCATGTGAATAGGGCTGCACATCAGAAACGGACAGAATTGAAATCTTTTGGCAGGTAAAACAGTATCTTTTGTCTGGAGTTCAACATAAATGGGGAAAACCAGTTAGTTTTCTCTCATTAAGCCCATGGGAGATAAAAAACTAAAACCACACTGACAGATTAACAAACAAACTTTCATACAAAAAAAACAAACCATCAAAACATTCAATAATGCTATACGAGACTTGTAGAATGTCGTTCAAAATTGTGTTACATTATAAGAAATTCTTACAAACCTTCTTTTTTTATCGTTCTCTCTCTCATCTTTCTCAAACAAAGACATGTCCTCTCTTCTACACAAGATTCAACTACCTTGTCCCTACTTGATAGCATAAACTTTACTTGTTTTTGTGCATCACTCGGCTGTAGATCCTCAAATCATCTCTGAATTGGCGCAGACACCGTCCTTCCTTCTGGAGGGTGACTACTTTTGTCCCCCATGATCCCTGTAGTCACCGCTCCAAGCTCGCTCCAGTGATGGACAGCTTCTTTTAACCCAAAAAAACATTCCCCCCCTCCCCAGGCGAATTTGTATTTTCTGTGATCACTGTACGGTGCATGCGCCATGCAGTGTATACAATTAGCACAGTTGCAGCATCTCTTAAGATACCGTGAATGGACCGGATGCCAGGGACGATGCAAACCCTGTGCAAATGAGCAGGAGTTCCATCATCAGTGTCCACCGAATGGCTGAAGAGGACTTCCAGCAACCGGGAAGTAGCAGCGGTGGGAAGACAGAGCGGGGGACCAAGGATTAATCTGGCAGTGCTGGAGAAGGGCACACAGGACACAGGTAAGTGTGTCCTAATGGATAAGTGTGCTGTGACTACAGTACATGCACATTAGGGCAAAAACCCACCCACCTCACAGCATTTTACTACTGCCTTAAGGGTGTGCATAAGGTTCAGGAGGGCAGTATTTTATAAAATGAAGCCGAGATCAGGAACACAGGGACATGATCTCAACCAACAAGCAGGAAAGCTCAAAACTAACCTTGGAAAGTATTATTTTACCAAAAGAGTAGCTGATGCTTGGAACAGACTCCCAGCAAAAGGTAGAAAATCAGCTACTAGGAAGTGAAATTAAACATGCTTGGGACCAGCATACAAAAAAAAAAAAAAAAGGATCAGACTCAAATGGTCCACTTGGTCACTTTTGTACGTTTCCATGTAACATCTATGTAAAACCATCTTGAAGCAGGTCCTGGCAAAAACATTTTATGCTGACATTGCCCATACGCAAGTCAAAACAGTGCTTCTGATTGCAATTTGCCTGTTTTTCAGAAAACAACCTAATCCTACTACAGGACAGAAGTCCCACTCCATTTAAAATGGTTTTACATCCCTGCTTCACATCAACTACAGTGATTAACTGCCGGCACAGAATGCCGAGATAAGTTTGCATGGGACAAGATAAATGACACTTGAAGACCCTGCACACCCCAGCAGAAAGGGGTCATAGACACTCCATATACGACTGGGTAGACCAAGCAGTCTCATGGACCTCAGCTAAGTTGCAGTGTTTTCTGGACAACCTAATTACCAAAAGTTTACTTATTGCCTGAAGTTTCGTCAAATAACATGCAAGTTAAGTGTTTTTTTAGGATGCTTCAGGGACTAAAATGATAATAGCTGTTATGAAAATTAATTTACAAGGCGAAGCTAGGAGAGCGCTTTCTAGCAGCTTCTCATGGAAGCCCATTAGTAAGCAGGTGGGGAAAACATTATGCCCGAGCTGTTAAGTGTGATATACTACCTTAATATCCCCTGCCTTCCATTTCATGGCAGTAAGCAGAGAAGCTTCCGTCTACTCTCAGCATACAGCTATATATGTCGCAGCAATAATGTGTCTGAAGTAAACAGACATAGAAGGCAGTAGCAGCACATTAATCTGAAATTAAAATATCACGCTGGGTGCAAAAACACAAGTGTTTGAAAGAGGCACAGCCCCCTATCCCTCGGACACTGGATGTCACCTTTTAGAGGAGGAGTAGTAGGAGGAATGTATTTTTCAATATACGGTATTTGATTAATTTAACCCAGCAAAGGAATATTTATTAATGCACACACTCATTCAGTTTACTTTTCACACAGCCAAACACAGACTGGTTGAACCAGATTTATGAATCCAACATAATAAAATGGGGAAAAAAAAAAAGGGAGGAAGGAAGCAGCTTTTCACCCCAGAAGTGCAAGGTGGATATTACATTGACCAACAGCAAAGTTTAGTTTTCGGTGCCTCCCTCTGAATAAAAATAACTGCAAGGGTTAACTTATAAACCAGTTTTACTTGCCTGATCTCCACTCCCACTGGCTCCAAGACAGACGCCCCCAGCCTCTTCTGCACTCCAGTGGTCGGAGGTCTGCGGACATCATCACATCTAAAGCAGGGTTCATAGCCGGGGAACATTCCACAGCCGGAGCGGAGGGCAGAGAGGTGAGGGCCAACTGTTAGGGTAGTGGGGATCGGGTAAGTAGAACTGCTTTAAAAGAATCCACCTAGACATAAATGGGCAGTCAACCGTTTACCCGCAATAGGGACAGATGATCGTCCCTGGACAAGCTGCATCCAGGGACGATGATCTGTCTCTAACCACAGGTAATCCAGAACCGATTACATCCAAACAGCAACGAATAGCTGCAGCTTCAGTCTGTCATTGCTTTGTATAGGCTGAGCAGGAGCGGCTATTCATAAACACCTGTTATTCTGGACGCTGGAATCCACGGATTCTCACTGCCAGAATTTGCCCTAATTGCAGGTGGGAATGGGGCCCAAAACAGATCAGCCGCTTGACACGGCTTCATGCCTTGCTACACATTTTTTACGTTCTGTGTGAAAGGAGACAGTGGAAATACTTGCTTCTGCTAGACATGGACTTCCAATATCATCCCAGCCCAGGATAAGTCACTGGAGCTTAAAAGTGACTTGTCAAAAATAAAAGATATAGCGGGTGAATTTATCAAAACTGGAGCAGACAAAATCTGGAGCACCTGTACATGGCAACCAATCAGCTTCTCCATTCAGTTTGTTCAGTTAAGATTTGAAAATGAAACAGAAGCTGATTGGCTGCTGTGCACAACTGCTCCAGATTTCTTCTGCTCCAATTTTGATAAATTCCCCTCATAGCTTTTTTGTAATTTTTTTATGTACCAGTTAAGTTCAGGAGTAAAATGTATAATTTTTAAAATGAATACAATGATTTGTAAATGTCTT